CCAGAAAAGCGCTATATTAATGTAAGGAATTAATCCTGGCAATAAGAATGTGAAGGCCGACTCACTCTCCCGTGTTCACCAACCAGACAGTCCAACCACACCTGAGCCGATCCTCCCTCCAGCTAACATCGTCAGCCCCATTTAGTGGGATCTGGACGAGCAGATCCGCATCGCCACTCAGACAGAAACTGCTCCGCTGGGAGGCCCAGAAGGGAGGACTTGCGTACCCCCTTCCCTACTGCAAACCCTTCTGGGCTCACTTCACGCTTCCCTGGGCTCTGGACACCCAGGCAGCCAGCGCACTCTCTCGCTCCTCCAAGCTTGATACTGGTGGCCCAGTTTGGCCCAGGATGTCTCCCAGTATGTTCGTAGCTGCTCAGTCTGTGACATCTCCAAGACTCCACATCACCTCCCATCTGGAAAACTGGTCCCACTTCTGATCCCCCATCGACCTTGGTCCCACATTGGAGTCGATTTCATCACCGACCTCCCTAACTACACCTGCAGATAAACACACCTGCATCCTAGTAGTGGTGGATAGATTCTCCAAAGCTGGCAAGCTGATTCCCCTAAAAGGCCTGCCCACCTCCCTATAAACTGCAGAGGCGCTATTCCATCACGTCTTCCGCAATTTTGTCATTCAGGAGGACATTGTTTCCAATCGTGGGCCCCAGTTAATCTCCCGTGTCTGGAGGACATTCTTCCAGCTCCTGGGCGTGACAGTCAGCCTCACATCCGGTTATCATCCCCAGACCAATAGCCAGATTGAGCTGTAGCTACAGGAGATTTGGAGATATCTCCGGTCATACTGCCATGACAACCAACACAGCTGGAACTGCTTCCTACCCTGGTCCGTGTATGCACAGAACTCTCTGAGGCAGTCCACCACAGGATTAACCCCCCTTTTCATTGCATACTCGGCTTCCAACCCCCTCTGTTTCCCTGGATGGAGGAACCCTCCGATGTTCCAGCTGTGGACCACTGGTTCCGAGCGAGTGAGAGAGTATGGGACTCAGCTCATGTCCATCTCCAGTGGGCAGTGCGGAGACATAAGGCCTTTGCTGATGCCCGACGCCCTTCACTCTACCGCCCCTGTCTATTGTCCTGGGGACAAGTTCTGGTTGGCCACCCAGGATCTGTGTCTCCGCCTGCCCTGCAAGAAGCTGAGTCCCCGCTATATAGGTCCTTTCACCATCCAGAGGCAGATTAATGATGTTACTTACCTGTTGCAGCTCCCTGCCCAGTATCGGGTGCACCCCACATTCCATGTGTCACTACTCAAACCATTCTCTCCTTCTGCCCCAGGTCTCGAGGAACCCGAAGTACCTCCTCCTCCCGAGATCCTCGAAGAACCCACCACCTACCGTGTCCATGACATCTTGTACTCCAGGCGACGGGGCGGCTGCCTAGAGTATCTCATCGACTGGGAAAGGTATGGCCCCGAGGAGAGATCCTGGGTTGCTCGGGATGATGTTCTGGATCCCTCCCTCCTGGCTGATTACCATCTCAACCACCCGGACCGCCCAGCACCCAGGGTCCGTGGCTGTCCCCGTCGCCATGTGCGGGCGTCATGAGCCGCCCGTGGAGGAGGGGGTACTGGCAGGGATTCAACCACGCCACCCATTATGCTATCAATGTCCCAATCACCCGATTACTGATCACCACCACCTGTCACCACTAATCAAGCTCCCTATATCCTTGCACTCTTCCCACTGTCACATTGTCTGGTCTCGCAGATTATTATGCGTACTTACCTGACTCTTACTCTTACCTGTGTTTGCTTACCTGCAAGCGTCCCCGACGATCCATTCCACATGCTCCAGTGCTCCTACGATCCATTGTTCCTATGGCTCACCTGCAAGGAAAGACAGACTGGTTACTCTGGCAAGATAAGCATCCAAAACTCCTCCCATGCTCAGTTTACTCGCCTTGGGACTGTGATCTTGCTTTCACCTGCCTCCTTCGAAAATAAACCTGCTGAATTGTTGACTTAGCCTTGTGTTCTTTGTGTATTTACTGACAACTTTAGCCCAACGGTTAGCTTATAATAATGTTTTCTAATTTTAGTGGTACTGGTAGGAATTTGTGGGAAGTTCGAGCATGCTGCCACGTCATTATGTCACGTCTGTAATCATAAAGAAGTTGTCCCGGCAAATAGGCTATATCGCATGTGAGGATCCTGCAGGTGGCAGATCGTTTATAGCCTTTTCTCACAGAAGCTGGAATAATTAAACATATTATTTTGATGGCGGATTGTAATCCAGAAAGGATTATGTGTTTATGAAACACATGTGACTGAAATGAAATTATATTCCAGTTTTAAAAGTGCATCTGATTACAGATTGCCTTGGATTACACAAGATTTGTATTTTAAAGAGAACCAGTTTGAAGGAAGAATAATTAGCTTTTTGGGTTAAAATAATTTCTTAAAAAATTTGAATGGTATGACAATTAAAGATTAGACTGTACAGAAATTGAAATCTACACGCTAATACACATTATATACACATAGTCACACAATGCTGATGTTGTTAACATTAACAATTTGAGAACAAAGTATAACAATAATAATAATTTGCATGGTTTGATGTGATAATTATGGTGACCAGGAGGGGACGTCTTCGGTTCACTTAGTTTTGTCATGGCCTCGACATGTTAACTCATGGGAACATGATAATATGTCGTGACCACGAGATATTAATTTGTGGGAACGTCATATTGTCAGGATCGTGGACTGTCTGTGTCATGTTTTGCCCCTGTTTCTGTTCCCTTATTTGGCCATGTTCCTGTCCTCGTTTTGTTGATTAGTCATCCCATACACCTGTGTTTTCCCAATCATCCCCTGTATTTAAGTCCTAGTCTGTGCAGTCTGTCTCTGTCGTTTCTACTTGTTATGTTCATGTGTTTCCTGCCGTTCCCAGTGTTTGATGTACCCTGTGTTTCTTCTATTAAAGACTGTTTCGTTTATTCCTCGTCTCCATCGTTCCTCGCCATCACAGATTGTGACAGAAGAACCAACCAAAACAGTAACTTCCTTGTGTCTACCCTCTGTTTTGTTTCCCATTTTTACCCAGTGTCTTTTTTTCCGTTGTTCCCTGGATGGATGCCCTTCTTCGCCCCAAATACCTCCTCCTCCTGCTGGAGCAGGGGGACAAAGCTCTCGAGGACCACACTAGACTGTTCCAGCTGCTAGCAAGCACCACCAGCTACCCGGACGATGCGCTCTGTGCGTTCTACGACGCCAGTCTAAACATCGAGTGCAGAGCACCGTTGTCCGTAGATGGTCGTCGAGAGGATTTCGGCACGCTTGTGGAGTGGATTCTGGCGAGAAATCCACTCCGGACCCAGAAGCCCAGTCCACCATCTCCCTGCTGTGCGGAGCTAAAGCCCAAGCCCAATACGATATGAGCACCGCGGGTCTGCCATCCTCCAGCGTCGCCATGGCTGGAGAATACCTCACCTCCGTTTCCAGCCTCCGAGGCCCAGACTCCACCTCGGCTCCTAGTTCCCTCACCTCCACCGTCACCCGTCGATCCACCAGCTCCACCAGGCTCCCTCGTCCCTCCGGCTCCACCGCAGATCTCCGGATCTCCGCCTTGGTCGCCAGAGCCCTCGGCTCCACCCTGGCCGGACAAAGCTCTCGAGGACCACACTAGACTGTTCCAGCTGCTAGCAAGCACCACCAGCTACCCGGACGATGCGCTCTGTGCGTTCTACGACGCCAGTCTAAACATCGAGTGCAGAGCACCGTTGTCCGTAGATGGTCGTCGAGAGGATTTCGGCACGCTTGTGGAGTGGATTCTGGCGAGAAATCCACTCCGGACCCAGAAGCCCAGTCCACCATCTCCCTGCTGTGCGGAGCTAAAGCCCAAGCCCAATACGATATGAGCACCGCGGGTCTGCCATCCTCCAGCGTCGCCATGGCTGGAGAATACCTCACCTCCGTTTCCAGCCTCCGAGGCCCAGACTCCACCTCGGCTCCTAGTTCCCTCACCTCCACCGTCACCCGTCGATCCACCAGCTCCACCAGGCTCCCTCGACCCTCCAGCTCCGCCTTGGTCAGGCGTCGACCCGCCATCACCTCAGGACTCCGCTCCTCTGGTTGCACCTCGTTGCTCCGTCCCACCGGCTCTATTGGGCTCCTTCCTCCCGCCAGCTCCACCTTGGTCCTCTGTCGCTCCGGCTCCACCACGGATCTCCGGATATCCGCCCCCGCCTTGGTCGCCAGAGCCCTCGGCTCCACCCTGGCCACCTGGATCTTTGGCATCCCCCTGGTCCGTTGGCTCCTCCACCACCTGCTCCACTGCCATTGGTCGGCGCCCTGGAGTCGGCAGCCATTCCTCCTCCATGGCTCCTCCCTCCATCAGCTCCACTGTGGGTCGACATTATGGCTGTGGCCTGGGTCCTGATTGGCTCCTCCTGCTCCGGGCCCCTCCTATCTTCACCCTGGCTCCTCCCTCCTTCATCACCTCCCTGGTCTCTATCTGCCGGCCCCCTCCCGGGTGTCCATCCTCATCCGGAACCTCCTCCCAAGTTCCCACCCATGCCTCCCTCTGTTGTTGCTACGAGGACGCACCTTCCGGGAGGGGGCGTAATGTCAGATCATGGACTGTCTGTGTCATGTTTTGCCCCTGTTTCTGTTCCCTTATTAGGTCATGTTTCTGTCCTCGTTTTGTTGATTAGTCATCCCATACACCTGTGTTTCCCCAATCATTCCCTGTATTTAAGTCCTAGTCTGTGCAGTCTGTCTAGGTTGGTTATACTTATGTTTATGTGTTTCCTGCCATTCCCAGTGTTGGATGTACCCTGTGTTTCTTCGATTAAAGACTGTTTCGTTTATTTCTCATCTCCATCATTCCTCGCCATCACAGATTGTGACACATATTAACTTGTGGGAGTGTCATATTATGTTGTGGCCACGAAATATTAATTTGTGGGAATGTGATATTATGTTGTGGCCACAAGATCATTTTGTCGAGGTAACGACATCCTTATGTTGTGGCCACGACTTCTTATGTTGAGGGAACAACATATTTGTCTCATGGCCACGAGTTTAATGCATAAAAACAAACCTGCGTTACCACAGCAACCCGGGATTATCAGAGAGGGTTTTTTAATATTTATTTTGAATTAAGAAATTATTATAGGCTATTAATTATTATTGAAATTATTACATTATTAAATTATTATATTAACCATAGTCTTAGGCTAATGGACTGTAGGCTATGTAGACAGCATTCAAATTAAGTTTAAGCCTAAATGTTACATAAAGTACATAAAATAAAATAGGCCTACAAGAAAACATTTTTATCCAGCCACAGTCTTGTAGCTATATCCATTAACTGATCGTCTTTTTCCGTAATATTTGTATATTATTATTATTATTATCATTATTATAAGCATATTATTATATTTTATATTAGTTTCACCCCTTAATTTCAATCTCTTTGCATAACGTTCTGACTAGTTGTGTAAATAAGCCTACTGTAAATGCTCGACATGCCAATAAAGCTTTGATTATGCTGACTGGAATGTATAGCCTACTGGAAGTGCAGTTTAAAGGTTGAATTTAACATATATTTCATTTTATTTTGGCAAATTAATAATTAATATTATAGCCTAGTGTTTCCCTGAGGAATGAATCATTCACATAGTTTCATTTGTAAATGAAAACACAACACGCTCATTTATCATCACACACGGGCATAAATAGCCTACAGTCATAAAGTATTGGCATAATTGTCAGGCGTTTACAGTATTTGCAAAATATATGGTAGCAAATACTAGAATAATTATACAGAAAGTTAATTAGTTAAAGCGAATTGAATTTAATTGAAAGGAGAAATAATAAAATATTATATTTATATTAAATAAATATAAAAATATAGCTGTAACAACTTAATAAAATAATAATAATAATAATAATAATAATAATAATAATATTAACAAGCAAACTCACAACTGGAAATCTCCTTGACCAGATAAACTCCAGAATTTCTGGTGCAAACAACTAACTGCCCTTCATAAACACCTTACAAGAGCTTTCAATGACATCATTAATGATCCAAGAGGTATACCTGAGTGGTTAACATCTAGAACCACCTTCTTAATCTCCAAAGGCAAGAACACAAGGGACCCGAATAACTACTGGCCGATAACTTTCCTTCCAACAACTTAAAAGATCTTTACAGCTGCATTGAAAAACAGAATATACAACCACTCAATTAAGCATGGCATCCTCCCAGATGAACAGAAAGGGTGTAGAAAATCATCTAGAGGATGTAAAGTCCATCTATTAGTAAGTAAAATGGTTGCATCCCTGGCAAAGACACAAAGGAGAAATATTGGTATGGCATGGATTGATTACAAGAAGGCATTCGATAGTGTGCCTCATACCTGGATAATAGCAGCTATGGAAACCTATCGAGTCTGCCCATCTATAACTCGATTTGTAGAGACATTGATGAGAGAGTGGAAGACTGAGATAGTGCTCTATTACACCAGAGGTCATATCAAGACGGGTTGCATTGCAATTAAACGAGGTATATTCCAAGGCGACTCCTTGTCTCCCATTCTGTTCTGCTTAGCATTAATACCACTAACTAACATGTTAAATAGACAAGGTATTGGATTTGAAGTCGACATGTACAATAAAGTCAGCCATCTATTCTGCATGGACGACTTGAAACTGCTTGCAAAGGATGAGACTCAACTAAAGCAAGGTCTCACTATTGTCAATGGGTTCAGTGATGACATCAAAATGGAATTTGGCTTAGATAAATGTGTCACGGCTGTCTTTAAACATGGTAAACTAATCAAAAGTCAGAATATCCAACTGAATGACCAAACAGTCATTAGGAACATGGATATGAATGAAACATACAAGTACCTAGGTGTCGAAGAGAATGATAGCATTGATAACATTCAAATGAAAGAGAAGATAGCGAAAGAGTACTATCGTCGAGTTCGTCAGGTATTGAAGACTGATTTAAGCTCCAAAAACAAAATCACAGCCATTAATAATCTAGCTGTTCCAGTTGTGGCTTATAGCTTATAGCTTTGGTGTCATCAACTGGTTGAGAACAGACATTAAGAGGATGGATAGAAAAACAAGGAAACTCCTGACTATTGCAGGCATCCATCACCCGAAAGCTGATGTTGAAAGACTGTATATCAGGAGACGAGATGCTGGCCGTGGATTAGTCAAACTAGAATCTGCTTTCGAAACCGCTACCGTTGGCCTAAGCCACTACATCATGCTGGGCAAAGATATGTTTACGCGACTACTGGAAGACCACGATGCTGGTAAGCCTAAATACTCTCTTCGGAAAGAAGCTCAGAAGATAAAAGGAAAGTACTTGAAACAAATCACTGATGTGAAGAATATAAAAAAGCAATTAAAGAACAACATTGAGAAAAAAAAAATTTAACTCCTCAAGGGCAAACCTATGCATGGACAATTTTTTTGAGACTTGGAAAGACCAGGTGTCGATAAGCAGGCATCTATGCAGTGGCTAAACAGCTCTGGTTTAAAAGGGGAGACTGAAAGCCTGATTTTTGCAGTGCAGGACCAGGTACTCAACACCAAGTACCACAAGAAGAACATCCTGAAACAAACAGAAGACAGTAAATGCAGGATGTCCAACAAGGTTGAAGAGCACATAAGCCATATTGTTGCCAGCTGTACTACACTTGCACAGTCTGAGTACACCAACAGACACAACAAAGTAGCCAGCTATGTTCATTGGTCTATGTGCAAGTGTAACACAGAGGCAGTGGCGTTAGGATCCATGTGCAGCTTTATTAGATCACAAGGCAGGTCATACAGGCATAAATCGTCACCAGGTGTCAGACACAATGAAGGCTGGGCAGAATCGTAAACGAAGTTCGTTATAAGGGTCGAGGCAGGCGGCAGACAAACAATGGCAAGAATCAACAAGGCAGGCAGGGTCAGAATAGGTAGGCAGCAAGCAATCATAATCGGGAAATCAGTCCAGGTAATAAACAGGAAATCAAAACAGGGAAAACGCTCAGAAATGTCTGCTAGGCAAAACAAGACTTTGCAAGGAGAGCAGGGACGGCACAGTATAAATAGACCGGGTAGATGGGGAACACCTGTGCAGGTGATTAGTCTCTGGCAAGGTGCATTGTCGGAATTGGAGTCCGAGGGGATATTTAGTACTCCGGTGATGGTTCCCTCTGGTGGTGATTGGAGGGAGCCACAGAGGCTGAATTTGTGACAGAGTCCCCCCCCCTGTGAGCTCCTGACGCACAGAGGCAGACGACGCCGGGGTATTCCACGGGGTCTCGGGGCAGGTTTATCCGGGTGGTCTCTGTGAAAGTCTGTGGTAAGTGAGGGGTCCAGAATATCCTCTGCATTGACCCAGGACCGTTCCTCCGGACCGTACCCCTACCAGTCCACTAGGTACTGGATCATTCTGCCCCGGCGACGAGAGTCCAAGATTTCCCGAACTCGGTAAGCCTTTTCACCGTCTATGGTGATGGGAGGGACTCTTTGGTCACCAGCCTCCTCCTGGTCCTCAGCTTCTCTCGGACCACCAGCGGGCTTGAGCAAAGAGACATGAAAAGTGGGTGAGATACGATAATGTGCAGGTAAAGCCAAATGGAATGAAACAGGAGTTATTTGTCTGATCATTTTGAAGGGACCCCCGTACCTAGGACTGAGTTTTTTGCAGGGTAACCGGAGACGAAGATCCCGAGTGGACAACCAGACCCGCTGACCAGGCTGATAGTTGGGATTGGCGCGCTGATGGCGGTTAGCTTGTTCCCTTGTTCGGTGGACTGCTCTCTGGAGATGAACGTGAGCCTCATTCCACGTCTCCTCGCTTCATTGTAGCCATGAGTTAACGGCCGGAAGTTCTGATGGTCCTGATGAACCCCAGAACACATTGGAATGGGGTGATACCTGTCGCAGGTTTGCGGAGTGAATTCTGTGCATACTCGGCCCATAGTAAGTAGCGGCTCCAGTCGGTATGATCGGAGGAACCAAGTGAGTTCTTGGTTGAGACGTTCCACCTGACCATTCGACTATGGGTGATACACGGAGGTGAGACTGACATTGACAGCTGTCGGCAGAAAGCGGACCAGACTCGGGAGGTGAACTGGGGGCCCCGATCAGAGACCACGTCTTCAGGAAGGCCGTAAAACCTGAATACATAGTTGCAGAGCACCTTGGCTGTTTCAAGAGCAGTGGGTAGTTTGGGTAGAGGAATCAGGCGGCAGGCCTTGGAAAAACGATCGATAACAGAGAGAATGGTAGTGTGACCCTGTGAGGCAGGCAGATCTGTTATGAAGTCGATGGCTATGTGGGACCAGGGGCGTTGTGGAATGGGTAATGGTTGTAGGAGACCAGCAGGCAGTTGATGAGGGGATTTGGTTATGTTGCAAGTTGCACAGTCTCGGATGAAGACGATTGTCTCTGCTTGTAGAGTGGGCCACCAGAAGTGATTATTTAGTAACTGAAGGGTAGCTGCTATACCTGGGTGTCCGGAGCCGGGAGTTGAATGAACTAGCTGAATGACTCTTTGTCGTAGAGCTTGCGGTACATATGTGAGGTTAGGTGGAGTTTCAGCTGGAGGTGGTTCGGTGCCCTGGGCATCTGTGATCTCAGTCATGATGTCCCATTGTACGGGTGCGAGAATGATGGTAGACGGAATGATGGAGTCCTGACTGGGAGATAGTGTGGCTGATTCATAGAGTCGAGACAGGGCATCCGCCTTAGTGTTTTGAGATCCTGGACGGTAGGTTATTGTGAAGTCGAATCTGGTGAAGAATAGTGACCATCTTGCCTGTCTATGATTGAGTCTTTTGGCTGATTTCAGATATTCCAGATTGCGGTGATCGGTGAGTACAATAAAGGGGTGTTTGGCACCCTCGAGCCAGTGACGCCACTCCTCAAAGGCGACCTTCATGGCAAGAAGTTCTCGATTGCCCAAATCGTAATTCTGCTCGGTGGAATTAAGTTTACGGGAATGAAAGGCGCAGAGATATAACTTAGGCGGGTTACCATGTCGTTGAGTGAGAACTGCCCCAATGCCCGTGCTGGATGCGTCCACCTCCACAATAAACTCTCGTTCTGGGTCGGGATGGTACAAGATGGGTGCAGTGGTAAATCTCTCCTTGAGGGTCTGAAAGGCTGAACGGGCTGCTGGGGACCATGCAAGGCATTGAGTACCCTACTTAGTCATAGAAGACATGGGAGTTGCCATTGTGCTGAAGTTACGAATTAATCTCCTATAGAAGTTGGCAAATCCTAGAAAGCGTTGTAGTTCCTTTAAGGTGGCAGGTAGAGGCCAGTCAACAACGGCTCGTACCTTCTTTTCGTTCATGGCCACCCCTCCTGAACTGATCACATATCCGAGGAATGATACTGTCTCCTGATGAAACTCACACTTCTCGGCTTTGGCATATAGCTGGTGGCTGATGAGACGTTCTAAGACTGACCGAACATGCTTGACATGATCCTCGTACGAGTCTGAATAGATTAAGATGTCGTCTATGTAAACAATGACCCAGCGATTTAACGTGTCTCTGAACACATCATTAATGAAGGCCTGGAACACTGAAGGACTGTTGGCAAGCCCGAATGGCATAACATAATATTCGTAGTGCCCAGTCGTGGTAGAGAAAGCAGTCTTCCATTCATCACCCTCACGGATGCGAATGAGGTTGTAAGCATTGTGCAAATCTAGCTTGGTGAAATATCTTGCCTTTCGGAGCTGTTCCAGAGCTGCAGGGACTAGGGGCAAGGGGTAGCGAAACTTTATGGTGAGATCGTTGAGTCCTCTGTAATCAATGCAAGGAAGGAGACCTCCATCCTTCTTCTTAACAAAGAAAAACCCAGCAGAGGCAGGTGATGTGGATGGTCTTATGAACCCCTTAGCGAGTTCCTCTTCGATATAGGACTTCATAGCCTCCGCTTCAGGTTGAGATAAGGGGAAAACCCTCCCCTTGGGAGGATGTGAACCAGGTTGGAGTTCGATGGCACAGTCACTCATTCTATGAGGGGGTAATTGTGAAGCCTTTATCTTACTGAAGGCCTCCCTGAGATCGTAATATTCAGCAGGAAGTTGGCTGACAGGCGTGCAATTCCTTTCCTTTCTGACCGGTGAAGCATTGAGACAATTCTGACGGCAGGACTCTGACCACTGTGTAATCTGTCCCTCGGACCATGAGATTGAGGGGTTGTGCTTCTCTAGCCAAGGCAGTCCCAGAATGACAGGTGTTCGTGGAGATTGAAATACGAAGAGACGGATAAGTTCGGTGTGAAGAGCTCCAGTGCATAATTGAAGGTCTGTGGTAGAGAATTGAATTTGGCCAGTGCCCAGCGGACGGCCATCTAGAGCTGCCACTGCCAAATGAGACGTACAGGGAACAAGAGGAATATTATGAGTTTTTGCAAAACTAGTGTCAATGAAATTTCCTGCAGCTCCTGAATCAATCAAAGCCGTAGCCTCAGTGATCTGTCCATTAACTTTTAAGATGACTGGAATCTCTAAAGCAGTGGAAGTACTGAAATTCGAACTCATCGGAGAAGGATTGCGAGGTGGCCGAGTGGGACAGGAAGCTCTCATGTGTCCAGACAGTCCGCAGTATAGGCACAGATTTTGGCGAATACGTCTCTCTCTCTCCTCTCCTCTGAGATGAGTAAAGCCAATCTGCATAGGTTCTGTGTCAGGAAGTGGTGATGACGCGCCGACTGGAGCCGAAGAGAGCCGAGTCTGATGACGAAAGCGAAGGAGGTTATCGATCCGAATGGCCAGTTCGATGAATTGATTCAAGGATCTCCCCTCGTCTCGACAGGCTAATTCAGATTGCAGTTCCATGCTCAGACCTCTGCGAAAGTGTAGTTTGAGAGGATCCTCCGGCCAACCTGTTTGTGCAGCGAGAGTGCGGAATGAGAGGGCGTAATCCGACGCCGAACCTCTGCCCTGGCGTAACGACAACAGTTGCTCGCCCACCTCCTTTCCATCAGCGGGATGCTCGAACACCTCCTTGAACCGCTGGATGAAAGCCGAGAAGGAAGGAATGATCACCTGATTCTCATTCCACACTGCCGTAGCCCACTCCAACGCCCCTCCAGTGAGAAGCGAACAGACAAATGCGATGCGACTATCATCTGTGGAATACAACATGGGTTGTTGGTGAACAAACATGGAACATTGGAGTAAGAAACCTTTACATTTTGAGGGTGAGCCATCAAACATCTCGGGAAACGCCAAACGAGGGCTGGCGGTGGAGGTAGGTGAAACCGGGGCTTGAAGCGGTGGATTCGGAGGAGAGGCGTGGGCTTCGGGGGCTTGCAGATGAAGGGCTTGCAAGGTCTTTACCATCTCTTCCGTTAGCGAGGTAAGTCGGTTTAATTGTTGCTGGTGTGTGACCAGAACCGATGCTTGAGCAGATACCTCTGTGGTGGAGTGATAGAACGCTGCTGGATCGATTTCTGGCAAAGTCTTCTGTAACACAGAGGCAGTGGCGTTAGGATCCATGTGCAGCTTTATTAGATCACAAGGCAGGTCATACAGGCATAAATCGTCACCAGGTGTCAGACACAAAGAAGGCTGGGCAGAATCGTAAACAGAGTTCGTTATAAGGGTCGAGGCAGGCGGCAGACAAACAATGGCAAGAATCAACATAGGCAGGGTCAGAATAGGTAGGTAGCAAGCAATCGTAATCGGGAAATCAGTCCAGGTAATAAACAGGAAATCAAAACAGGGAAAATGCTCAGAAATGTCTGCTAGACAAAACAAGACTTTGCAAGGAGAGCAGGGACGGCACAGTATAAATAAACCAGGTAGATGGGGAACACCTGTGCAGGTGATTAGTCTCTGGCAAGGTGCATTGTCGGAATTGGAGTCCGAGGGGATATTTAGTACTCCGGTGATGCTTCCCTCTGGTGGTGATCGGAGGGAGCCACAGAGGCTGAATTTGTGACAGCAAGTATCTGGGAGTTCAAGTTACACATAAATACTATGAACATGAACCAGAAAAAGTCATCAATGTCAATGATAACATCATTATGTGGGATGTTCCAATAGTTTCCGACAGAACCATCTTAGCTAATCACCCTGACATAGTGTTGCATGACAAAAAAGAAAAAACATGTCTGCTGATTGATATAGCTGTTCCAGATGATACTAACATCATGCTAAAGGAAACCGAGAAGATCAGTAAATACAAGGACCTGAGATCAGTAGGATGTGGAAATGTAAAACGAGAACTGTACCAGTGATAGTAGCAGCATTAGGAACATTAAAGAAGGGTTTCATTCAGAACTTAAAAATGCTCCCAGGCCATCCGTCAGTGAAGTGCAAAAGATCGCACTCATGGGCACTGCCCATATCCTTCGTAAGGTGCTTGGGTGAATTGCTGTGATCTCTTGTTGAGATCTGGATTCACCAGTACAACCGCAAATAAATGCGAGAAGAAAAGATTTGAATGCTGTATAATAATAATAATAATAATAATAATAATAATAATAATAATAATAATAATAATATACAAATATTAAATTAAATGTTTAATGTTAATACAAATGTTTCATCCATCTCTAATAATCCTTGGTTGCTATGGTCACACAGGTTTGTTTACGCATTAAAGAGAATAACGAGAAATGGATGTTGTTCCCTCAACATAGCATCTCGAGGCCACGACATAAGGTTGTCGTTACCTCGAGAGAAGAAAAGATTTGAATGCTGTATAATAATAATAATAATAATAATAATAATAATAATAATAATAATATACAAATATTAAATTAAATGTTTAATGTTAATACAAATGTTTCATCCATCTCTAATAATCCTTGGTTGCTATGGTCACACAGGTTTGTTTACGCATTAAAGAGAATAACGAGAAATGGATGTTGTTCCCTCAACATAGCATCTCGAGGCCACGACATAAGGTTGTCGTTACCTCGAGAAAATGATCTCGTGGCCATGACATAATATCACGTTCCCACGAGTTAATATGACGTTCCTACGAACTCATATCTCGTGGCCACAACATATTATCACGTTCCAATGAGTTAATATGTCGTGGCCACAACAAAACTAAGTGAACCGAAGACATCCCCTCCCAGTCACCGTAGATAATAGCTAGCCGATCGTTAGATTTAATCACCATTGGTAGCGCGATTTATTGTAATGCTTTTTTCCTTAGTTGGTCAGTACAAATTTAGTAGACTTGTTACTTACTTGTTCAGATGACAAGATCCGGTGAAAATTCTTATTTGGCTCACACTTCCAAGACGTAGACAATCTGTGATTCCTAAGTACAGTATCCACACCGGTGCAGGGACTTACAGCTACACATACTCCTCAAAACATTCGATTCATCCGCACTGGAGCCATACCAGTGCACAAACCACGTATTAAAGATAATTGTGTAAACAACTGCAATTGCAGGTTTTCAAACAAAGATGGTGACAAAGAGGCAAAACTTACAGACTGCAGCTTTAAATGATTACTTTACCTCCTGAGTATTTCATTCATTTGTCAGCTAACAGAAGTAATGAAAGAAGCATTCAAGTGACAGAGAAGTGATCTTCGGCATTCGACAGAAACACCCAAAAAAGGTAAAAAATAAATTAAAGGTAAAAGAAAACTTTGTTTTGCTTTTATAAATTAAGAATGAATGATAATGTTACAGTTGTTTTGTGTCAGGCCTATCTTTTTTGATGTTCTTCCTTAAAAACCTTTTTTTGCAACTACAGTATTTTTTCGTTGATATTGCACAGCAATTCTTCTGTTTCATGTTTAATCAATTAATCTTTTTGATTCTGTTCATTTAGAAAAATGTATTCAGGTGAAATGGAGAAAGTGAAGAGAAATCAAGGTGCAAGATTAAACAAAATATATAACTTAAGGATGAGTAAAGCACCTAGTGGATCACATCTCACTGCAACACAGCTTTAGGAAGTGTGCTAGACACAGGCCCAACCCTCTTCCCAGCACTCTTTCTCATGGTGAACCGTTTGCTCTGTTTAGGGAAAATAAGAGAAAACAGTGAGTCAAGCCTTAGTGTTTGGAAGCTGCTGCCCAGACTGTTAATTAAGAAGGATGAATTAAAAACAGCCCTGTCTGGTCCTCCTCCCCTACCCCCAGTCCTTTGAACAACTTTGGCTTTGAAGGCTTTTTGAAAAAGAAATAGGAAGAAAAAAAATAGTAAAAAAAAATCCCTCTTTTCCAAACACATACACACACACCTTTATTTGAGGTCAAATAAAGATGTATAAAATGTTCCACAAATAATTGTATATATATATGTTTTTTTTTTTAATCATATGCTTACAATGCCAAGATAAGGCAATTAAATAAAATAAACAATTCAATAAAAGTGCAACTGAAAGTAGTCAGCCAGGGCTCCAGACTTTTTTCTGCCGGTGACACTAAATTGTGTTAGAGGCCGTGCTGGTGCCACTACCAATCTGTCGAACTGATAAGCGTTAGCATTTTGATGTGCATGATAAATTACATATTAAACACCAAGCGCGCCAAAAGCTAAATGAAATAGCACTTCTCGTTTGAAACTGCATGTCGCATGGACCTTTTATCAGCTCAGCTCAAAAGAAAAGAGAGCGCAGTTTGAGCTAAAGCAAATGTATATTTATGTTTATATATATATATATATATATATAAATTTTTATATGTAATATAATAATAATATATAATATTTTTTTGGGGGGGGCGGCTCAGATTGTCATATATGTACGTAGGGGGGACCCCGACAAAAAAGGTTGGGAGCCACTAGTGAATGTATTCTTATTTGACATGTCAGCATTCATAAACTTATTTCATAAAGCAGTTGGCTCCAACGGTAATGGTTTATATTACAACCCGCAACATACTGTGTAAGTAAACAGAATTTAAAACTTTTTTGTAATTATAGTGTACCTATTCAGTACCTTTGTCTAGGTACAGTATAAGGAAATAATATGCTACGTTTGGGGAATAAAGGGGTAATAACCAGTAAAATTACCAATTATTTCTACTGTAAGTATTTTGAAACTTAGGTGTACCTATTCTAATATTACGTGGTATGTATGACCTCACAACTATCTTATATTTGCAAGCGATTTAGCAAAAACATACACTGTGTACTTTTTTATAGCCTACACATATAAAACATGCTGGTAATTGTTTCAATCCAAACGCTCGGTTGAGACTGTTAGGTTAGGAAGCTGACTTGATTTGACCAAATTTGGGTTGATATCAGTAATAAGTAACTTGATGGTGCTGGGTTAGGAATGTGGAGGATGTAAAAGAGAGCATGCAGCAAACGTGAACGGTTCTGTGTGCGACGAGATCCGTGACTGCGGTGCTTAAGACGGGAACATGTGTGGAAAAACTAATCGAAGCGCAGACGAGGGACAACTTTGAAACTGTTTGGAGTGTGTTTGTTTAAAACTGGACCAGTGAATGTGGTGAGCGTGAACTGGAAACAGCTGGAATGGCACTTGAGACGATCATGACAGGAATAACTGGAGGGTTTTGTCCGAGTATGTTCTCACAACATTGAGCAGCGACTGATGAGCAGTAAAGCCGGGAACTGAACTAGTCAAAATGTGCTTTGAGGATGTTGATCAAAATGGTAAAATAAAAGATGGTAAAATCCTGTCAGTTTGCTATTTTAATCTTGATTAGTTTATGTCTTTACTTTCAGTGTTTATTAGGGTTTCCGTCTGTGTTTTTTTGGCATGACGGTTTGGTCATAATAGTTTAACTTTGTCATTGGGTGAAAAAAAAATCTTCAATTTGTTCTTAAACAAGATTTTCAAAAGAATTTGGTTCAACTGTATAAGAAGTATGGAGTTGCTTTGCTTTTTTCTGAACTGGTGTAATATATTTTTATATTTTATTATATGTTGCCTATGACTGTTGTGTGTGATTTTAATTTAAAAACACATTTTGGGTTCATTTAACCCAGCAGTAGACCTGTAGTAAATTTCAAACAATATTTGAATTAAATAAAACAGTCCACCATGTTTATTGATATATTACCTGATAAATAATGTATGTATGTATGACCTACTGTATAATCAATCGTTTCAGAGCAATGTGTTGTAGCCAGTTACCCTGTAACTACATGGAACAAGGGGGGAACAAGCACCAATTTAATTTACAGCCCACACCTGTTGTATTTACAATGTAAGTACATGGAACAAGGGGGGAACAAGCACCACTTTAAATTACAGCCTGCAAATTTAGTATTTACCCTGTAACTACATGGAACAAGGGTGGAACAAGCACCACTTTATTTACAGCCCACAAATGTTGTATTGACACTGTAACTACATAAAACAAGGAGGTAAAAACACCACTTTAATTTACAGCCCGCAACTGTTGTATTTACACTGTAACTACATGGAATAAGAGAGAAACAAGCACCAATTATAAATTACAACCCCCAAATGTTGTATTTACACTGTAACTACATGGAACAAGAGAGAAACATGCACCAATTATAAATTACAACCCCCAAATGTTGTATTTACACTGTAACTACATGGAATGAGAGAGAAACAAGCACCAATACTGATGAGCAGTAAAGCCGGGAACTGAACTAGTCAAAATGTGCTTTGAGGATGTTGATCAAAATGGTAAAATAAAAGATGGTAAAATCCTGTCAGTTTGCTATTTTAATCTTGATTAGTTTATGTCTTTACTTTCAGTGTTTATTAGGGTTTCCGTCTGTGTTTTTTTGGCATGACGGTTTGGTCATAATAGTTTAACTTTGTCATTGGGTGAAAAAAAATCTTCAATTTGTTCTTAAACAAGATTTTCAAAAGAATTTGGTTTAACTGTATAAGAAGTATGGAGTTGCTTTGCTTTTTTCTGAACTGGTGTAATATATTTTTATATTTTATTATATGTTGCCTATGACTGTTGTGTGTGATTTTAATTTAAAAACACATTTTGGGTTCATTTAACCCAGCAGTAGACCTGTAGTAAATTTCAAACAATATTTGAATTAAATAAAACAGTCCACCATGTTTATTGATATATTACCTGATAAATAATGTATGTATGTATGACCTACTGTATAATCAATCGTTTCAGAGCAATGTGTTGTAGCCAGTTACCCTGTAACTACATGGAACAAGGGGGGAACAAGCACCA